GTAAATAATAAGTTAAATTTTGGTCATGTTAAGTTTGAGATGTTTATGGGACATCTAGGGTTGAGGTTTAAAAGGCAATTACATGCAGACTGCTTCTTTGATTTATTACAGTAGAGGTAATTGGTAAAGACTTGGGAATGGATGATGTTATTCAGGTAGAGTCGGAGTGAAAAGCAAAAGGTACAGATTGGTGCTTGTAAAATATTTAAGGGATGGGCATAGAAGAAATTCATAAAGAATATAAAGAAGGAGCATTTTGGGAAAAAGTCTGGAGACAGCAATGTCTAAGGAGGGAAAGGTTAATAACATGTCACATGTAGTACAGAGATCAAGAAGATAATAAACAGAAATATGTTTATTGGATTTTATGATTAAGCAAGTGAGAAAATAGATGCAAACACAGAATGCAGTGTGCTATCATGGTAATGCAAGATAGACCTGAGTTTGAGATCTGGTTGCCACTTAACTTGTCTTGCTGTATTATGTCTGAAAATTTATTTATTGAACATCAGTCACACCACTTTTTATTTATTTATTTATTAAGGTATGATTGATATACATTCTTATGAAGGTTTCACATGAAAAAATAATGTGGTTACTACATTTACCCATATTATCAAGTCCCCACCCATACCCTAATGCAGTCACTGTCCATCAGTACAGCAAGGTGCCACAGGTCCACTATGTGCCTTCTCTGTGCTACACTGTTCTCCCCGTGATCTCCCACACCATGTGTACTAAACATAATGCCCCTCAATCCCCTTCTCCTACCCTCCCACACCCCTCCCCTTTGGTAACCACTAGTTCATTCTTGGAGTCTCTGAGTCTGCTGCTATTTTGTTCCTTCAGATTTGCTTCATTGTTATACTCCACAAATGAGGGAAATCATTTGGCATTTGTCTTTCTCCACCTGGCTTATTTCACTGAGCATAATGTCCTCCAGCTCCATCCATGTTGTTGCAAATGGTGGGATTTGTTTCTTTCTTATGGCTGAATAGTATTCCATTGTGTATATGTACCACATCTTCTTTATCCATTCATCTACTGATGGACACTTAGGTTGCTTCCGTATTTTGGCTATTGTAAAAAGTGCTGCAATAAACGGGGGTGCATATGTCTTTTTGAATCCGAGAACTTGTATTCTTTGGGTAAATTTCAAGGAGTGGATTCCCGGGTCAAATGGTATTTCTATTTTTAGCTTTTGAGGAACCTCCATATTGCTTTCCACATTGGTTGAACTAGCTTACATTCCTACCAGCAGTGTAGGAGGGTTCCCTTTTCTCAGCATCCTCGTCAGCATTTTTTGTTAGTCTTTGGATGCTGGCCATCCTTACTGGTGTGAGGTGATATCTCATTGTGGTTTTAATTTGCATTTCCCTGTTGATTAGTGATGTGGAGCATCTTTTCATGTGTCTGTTGGCCATCTGAATTTCTTCTTTGGAGAACTGTCTCTTCATATTCTCTGTTCATTTGTTAATCATGTTATTTGCTTTTTGGGTGTTGAGGCTTTTAAGTTCTTTATATATTTTGGATGTTAACCCCTTGTTGGATATGTCATTTACAAATATATTCTCCCATACTGTAGGATGCCTTTTTGTTCTGTTGATGGTGTCCTTTGCTGTACAGAAACTTTTTAGTTTGATGTAGTCTCATGAGTTCATTTTTGCTTTTGTTTCCCTTGCTTGTGGAGATGCATTCAGGAAGAAGTTGCTCATGCTTATATTCAGGAGATGTTTGCGTATGTTGTCTTTAAGAGTTTTTTGGTTTCATGACTTACATGAAGTCTAATCCATTTCAAGTTAACTTTTGTGAATGGGGTTAAACAATAATCCAGTTTCATTCTCTTGCATGTAGCTGTCCAATTTTGCCAACACCAGCTGTTGAAAAGGCTGTCATTTCCCCATTGTATATCCATGGCTCCTTTCTCATGTATTAATTGACCATATATGGTTGGGTTTATATCAGGGCTCTCCAGTCTGTTCCATTGGTCTATGGGTCTGTTCTTGTGCCAGTACCATATTGTCTTGATTACTGTGGCTTTGTAGTAGAGCTTGAAGTTGGGGAGCGTAATGCCCCCAGCTTTATTCTTCCTTCTCAGAATTGCTTTGGCTATTTGAGGTCTTTTGTGGTTCCATATGAATTTTTAGAACGGTTTTCTCTAGTTCGTTGAAGAATGCTATTGGTATTTTGATAGGAATTGCATTGAATCTATAGATTGCTTTAGGCAGGATGGCCATTTTCACAATATTAATTCTTCCTATCCATGAGCATGGGGTGAGTTTCCATTTATTGGTATCTTCTTTAATTTCTCTTAAGAGTGTCTTGTAATTTTCAGGTACACCACTTTTTAAATGGGGTTAATAATGCTTCCCTATTAAGGTTGCTGAGACATTTAGCTGAGAGAATATATAGCACTTGTTTGTATCTTCTTCATAAATGGCAGTTGTCAGTATCACATTGTGACACCTTAATGGCTGGCTTTAGTGATTCTTTTGCACAGGTCCTACATCTGTTTTATTGACTTGCTGTACTAATTAATGTCTTTTTGATAGTATAATATAAATTATTGAAAATTGGTTCAGTTTGGCTCTCATTGGGCATGTTTTAATCTTATTATTTTTTAAAGTGGTAAGAATGAAAAGTAATTTAAGATGAGTGTTCTGCCTAAAATTTGGATCTAAGAAAAGAAGAAGTCAAAATTGACTTAAAGGAGTCATTTTAAGGCAAGTCTGCTAGTGGCAAAACTCTTAAGTTTTCCTTCATCTGAGAATGTTTTGATTTTCACTTCATTCTTAAAGGATATTTTTGCTAGGTAGGAATTTTGGATCGATAGTTTTTTTCTTTTCAGCACCTTAAAATGTTCTCATTCTTCTGCCTTCCATGGTTTCTGATGAGAAATCCACAGTGACTTGCAATGTACTCCTAAAGGGAATGTTTTTTCCTTGGCTGCTTTCAAGGTTTGTTTGTTGTCTTTAGTTTTCACTAGTTTGATTGTGATGTATCTGGGTATGGATTTTGTAGAATTTATGTTGTTTGAGATTCACTGACCTTCCTGAGGTTGTAAGTGTATGTCTTTCACCAATTTGCAGAGTTTTCTGGGGCTATTTCTTCATATACTTTCTGCACTCTACTTTTTCTTCTCTCTTTTTGGGACTCTGATGATATGAATGTTAAGCCACTTGATTTTGTCCCTTTGGCTCTATTTGTTTATTTTTCTATAATTTTCTCTCTGTTTTTTAGATTGGATACTTTCTATTGCTCTGTCTTCGAGCTCACTGACTCAGTCCTCTGTTATCTCTGTTCTACATTTGAGCCCCTCAGTTTTGGTTATTTTATTTTTTTGGTCCTAAGATTTTATTTTGTTGTTTGACACACACACACACAGATGTACACATACTGCCCTTCCCCTCATAATCTTATTTTTTTGCTGAGATTCTCTTACCTATTTTGCTCAAGAGTATTCTTGCTGACTTCTTGAAGAATGTATAATAGCTGCTTGTTATTGACATGAAGGACCCAAGACATTTAGCACTCCTGTCACCCACCCATTAGATGCCACAGTGAGTTATTGACATTCTCCTGATTCTTCATATGTCAAATGATTTTGGGTTGTGTATTAGACATTTTGATGTTTATGTTATGATACTTTGTGTCTTATTGAAATCCTATGACGGGTTTTATTTATTTATGTGGAGGGATGGGGGGTGTTATTTAGGCAGGCATTTGACCGTATTAGGTTCAGGTCACAAGTTTCTGCCCACCTTTTGTGTACTAAAATCCCAGTGTCTAGTTTTCACAGCCTTTAAAGAGCTGTTCTGATTTGTTTTGCATGTACACCACCTAGTGGCTGATTTGGAAATCCGATGGTTTGTTTAGGGTTAGAGCCACAGAGGCATAGCTCTGGAGCAACCCCAGGAGTGTTTGTAGAACTTCATAGTATCACTTTCTTGAGCTCCTTTCTCTTTGAAAGTAGTTCTGTGACACTTGCTGCTTCTAGAGCCTTTGAATTTTTCATTTCTCTGTTTTGCTGTATACTTCCACAATTGCATCTGTCTTCAATGCCAAGCAGCAGGATGCTAGAGAAAGAATATAAGCCATATGAATTCCCTTCATATTAATGGGACCAGAAGGGTTCTACCTTCTTATAGTTTTGGGTCCCTGTCCAGCCATTGTTGGTATCGTCACTGCCATCCTTACCTTTGGATTGTCTGGAGGCAGGGCTGAAAAAAGGGGGAAAACCTCCCAGAGAATTCTTCAGACGAAAAAAGAGAAGACCTCTTGGAAGCATTTCTTTCTGCACTTGATGTGCATTTCTGAGTTTGGGCTGCCTGTCAGTCTAGGCTGATTGGTCCCAGAGGAAACAAAAGCAGGAAACTCACTGCTGGGTTAGTAGTCCTAGTTGTGGTTTCGTCCCACAAGCCAACTGCTACCATTTTCAGAGTTCTCAGAAAGCTGTTCTATGCATTCCATCCAGGTTTTTAGTTGTATTCAGAGAGAGAGGCTAAACCATGCTTATTCCATCTTTACTAGAACCAGAACATAGGCACCATTTTAATTCCTTATAATTGAATCATTAATTTGTTTTGGTTAAGAATTCATTGAACATCTGTGCTGTACTAGGCTTTACTGAAAATGTAAAGATGGATAACCTCTAAGATGCTTACAGTAGGTCCACAGGTAGGCATGTAATAGAGAGGTAGAGGCAGAAAATACACTTTCATATTTTAGTAGTAAAAAATTTAGTCATTAATTTATCTGTTTTCATCCATCTCTGCTTCAGGATTTAACTTACTATTTGACTAAATGAGAGAAGATCCTATTTATATTCCATTTATTTTACACTTATTCTAAAATAGGGATGAAAAGTCTCTGATATATTAAGTGCTGGATGAAATGAATACAGTTGTAATAAGAATAAGGTATAGTGACATACATAATTATAATAAGAATAAGAACTTAAAATAAAAAGAAATAATTTATTATTATATACTTGTTTTCAGGTCTTAGAAAAATACCCCAATACACCCATGAGCCATAAAGAAATTCTTCAAGTTATCCAGAGAGAAGGACTAAAAGAAATCAGGTAAGTTATTTAAATATTATTAGTAATAATTATAATACTTGATTAGAGCATTCTTTAGTAGACAGCAGTATACTTTAGTCCTGAAGATTATTTAGTAATAACTGCTTTGTTAACTTCTGATTTATTCAGTTGTTAGATCATTGAGAGTTTTCATTCACTGCACAGTTACAAAACCAAAAGTAAGTTAAAAAAAATTCTTAGAAGTTAGCTATCTCCATACCCATGCACTTTAATTCTTAGGATGGCCTGGAGCCATCTTCAAGCCTTCATCTATCAATTCAGACTTTTGATTTAAAAACCTTGATAATTAGCAGATAAAAAGTATTCTAGTGTAGGGAGAGTGCTAGAGGTAATCTAAGAAAGAATAACCTTGGCTAAAAAGGATAAAATAGAAAAGATACATAGAGCAGAATATATTTCAAGTAATAGTCTAGTATTGAAATTAAACAGCCTGGGGTCAATTAATACAGGGTAAAAGATAAAACACCCTTTAGTTTTTAAGAGCCTTACTATATTATAGTCACTGCTCATAATCAATACTATCTGTCATCAAGAAGTGTTAAAATTATGTTCAACATGTTTTGTTATGGCAGAGATCTGGAGTCTAGAGATATTTCCATTAAGATAGAAAAAGGTTTTAGTGCTTTAAAACTGCTCCTAGGGTTCTCAACTGGGAGTAATATTGTATAATACCCTTAGGGGAGGTGTTCAGAATTTTGGAGGGCTACTTTTGATTGTCACAGTGACTAGGAAGGAGGGAGCACTGTGGCATTTAATGGGTGGGTGACAGGAGTGCTAAATGTCTTGGGTCCTTCATGTGGAAGAATTGTTCAACTCCAATGCATTGAGAAATAGTGAGCTATGCTGAAATATTTGTAAATGGACAGTATAATTTTGATAAATAGCTATTACGTGTTTGAAATTTTAATTCCTGTTTAACATGAAATTCAGTTTGAGATTTTAAAAATAGTCTTTGCTAACACAGGCAAAAATTTTTTGGTTTGATATGTGGTCAAATGTAAGTAGGCTGGGAATAAATTAGGTTTGCTTTATGAATCTAAAACAGTGAAGTATAAGTTAGTATATCTCACTTTACGTAACATTTCCCTGAGAAATTGTGTGAACATTTGTAAATTAAAATTTTAAAATGCATTTGGAGAATTAGCTTTTAAACATATATTCTTAAAAATTATTTAAAAAGTTAATCACTCTCATACTTCATAGTTACCTGCAGGGGACATCTATGATCACGAAAGTGTTTCTCCCAGGGCGAGGCTTATCCATTGCACTCTGGATGCACTTACCCCTGCGATTTCCCCAATGTAGGAAACTTGACTGCATAATTTGTGGTTGAGGGGGACTTCATTCACACTTTTCCCTTATAAAAAAAAAAATCACTCTTAATTTATTGTGATATAACTAAATTTTTATTTTAGATTAGATTACATTAGATTAGGTTAAAGCACAATACCCATTTAATCGTAGATCAATTTGTACAGGAAGAGCTGTACAAAGCTCGCAGGAAGATAGTGATTTTTGTGAGGTAGGAACAGATTCTGCTAAGATATTCTAATACCTATTAAACACTAGTTGGTAGGTCTTTTAGAATACTAATGAGCAGGAATTTTAATTTCTTTTAATAAAATAAGACTTTTGATATATACTGGGAAAATAGACCAGGAAATCTGGTATATAGAGATCAGACTCCATTAGTCCCTTAGGCCTAAATTCTGATTGCAGGGTCACCTAGCTCCAAAATAGTGAAGCTCTGTGGCTTTAAAATTCTCATTATCATTTCTAGGGAGCAGGATAAATAAAGAATAGTAAATAAATAACAGAAGGAAAAAAAGGAAGAACTTAAAAAAAAGGTAGCAAGATGAAGGAATCATCAACAACTTCTGGCTTCCCTTAGGACAGCAATTTACAGGTAGCTATTCTCGGTTCAACTCTGTTGTGGTGGTGATACTGGCATTTCTAAGCAGTTCTTTCTAAGTCACCAGTGACTTCCGTTTAGTGAACTCCACAGGACTTTCAGTTCTTGCCTCTCACTTCTCAGCATTATTTAACACAGCTGACTACTACCCCCTCTGGAGACTGTTTTGTTATGTGAAGTGACCTCAAACATTCCTATTTTCCTTTTTTCCTCTCTAAGCTTTCCTTCTCAGTTTTTCTGCTCATTACTTTCATTCCAACTTAAACGCAATTTTGTCTATTGCCATAGTTTAAATATCAGATTTGTTTTGCCACTTCCAAGTATGTAGTGAAGCTACTTCCCACCTCAGCCTTTGTACATGCTGACCCCTTAGGAAGGAATGTGCTTTCACTTTGTCAACCCTTTATTATTATTCAGGTGTCCATTTGAATGAATGTGTTTCTCTCAGAAAACTTTGGCTGACTTTACTGGATAGATCACATTTTTCTTTTTTAGTTTATTATAGTGTTCTGTGATCTTTCTTCATATCACTTAAGGTTTGAAATAAAATATTTTTGTAATTCTATAAAAAAATCATACAGTTTCCACAAGGGCAGTGACATTAGCTGTTCTTTCCCATTCTCCCTTTCTAATTAACGCTTGGCATGTGACAGGCATTGAAAACCTACTTACAGAATATATGAAGCATCAATGGTTGGAAAATCACATTCAAATGTAGTTATAGCTTATTCTCTTGCTGCAGTGATGTGTTGAAGGGTACTCTTATTTAAAGTTTTTAGACAGGTTACAGAATGAAGTAGATGCTATGTTTATTATTGAAGATGTGCTGCTTACAATTTTTTCATTCTCAATCCTCAATGCATAGCTTTCAACTCTTTTTCCCTTTGTAGTTTTCTCTCTGCTCCCCCATTTTGAAGAAGCTCACTTAATTTTGATTATTCTGTACTATATTGTTTTATTTTAAAATATACTAATGTGAAAACAGTCCAAATGCCCATCAGCAGATGAATGAATAAATAAAATGCGGTATATATCTTCAGTGGAATATTATTTAGCCTTAAGAGGGAATGAAATTCTAATACTTGCTACGTGAATGAACCTTAAAAACATGCTGAGTGAAATAAGCCAGACACAAAAGGACAAGTATTGTACACTTCCACCTATATGAGATACCTAGAATAGGCAAACTCATAGAGACAGAAAGTAGAAGAGAGGTCACCAGGGTCTGAGAAGCGGGAAGGAGAATAGGGAGTTATTGTTTAATGAGTATAGTTTCTTTTGGGATGCTGAAAAAGTTCTAGAAATACATAGTGGTAATAGCTGCACAACATTGTGAATATACTTAATGCCACTGCATTATACACTTTAAAATGGTCAAAATGGTAACTTGTATATGGTATGTATTTTGCCACAACAGACCAACAAAAAAATCTATTAAAAATGAAGTGATTGGCTCCTGGCTGAGAAAAATTGGGATACTGTCCCTTTAAGAAGTTAGGTGATATGATTGAAAATCATTTGCCCAAAGTATGAAATTCTGAATGAATTAATTAGAAACATGTATTCTTTAAAAAAATACACAGCATTTAAATTAAATGTATGTCAGCATTTTAGAATACAGGGAGAAAAAAGGTCCTCAAAATTTTCTCCTTATAATAACCTATGGTGTTGTATATTCCTTTTTTTTTTTTTTTTGCATCTAAATGCACCCCTTTTAAAGATAGTTTAGAGTTTCCCATAGGAAACGCTAAATCTTCTGAAAGAAGATTCAGACTGTGTTGTTTGTTTCAGGTGAAAGGGATGTTTTGGAATGTTCTCAAAGTAGCTTAGTTGTGTTTAGAACAGATTAAAAAGATCTGAAAAGGGCTTGAAGTAGTCCATAGGAGGAAGAAAAGATAAAAAGACAAAAAAAGAAAAGAATAATTTGGGACTTGTAGGTCGTAACAGTTGTTGGTAATGTAAACAGATGCTCTGTGGTGTTTAGTCACTTGTAAAGAAAAAAAGTTATTTTCTGTGCAATTTGCCAACAAACAGTTTAAGAAATTAAAAATGGTTTAAAAAAATTTATGACATCTCATTTCGTTGTTCAGGTTTCCTTGGCTAAAATATACCATATTTGTTCTTTCTCTCAACTTACATACCAATGATAACTTGGCAACTAGTTCCCTAGGGTTGAGCTCTTTGACACAGAATTATGAGTTTCATATTTGAAGTACTGTTAGAGCCTTTCAAAAAATTCTGTAAGCTTTTAATAATTTGTTTTTATCTAGACAGTTTCCTTTTTAAAAATTGATCATGTTTATTTAGAGATTTTATTTATTGGGTTTACTTAGTTGAAAAACCCACATTCTCATTATAGATTAGAGCTAATATGTTGATCCTGGGTCATGAATTTATTAACTATTGAAGGAATAGTTAGCTATTTTTGTTTCCCTCTCAAGACACTAGAAATGAAATCAAGGATTCAGAGAGATAGATATGTCTACTTTATACATTTTGACTGTATACTTCAGTTTCTAAGAGAAAGAAATTATTCAGGATTTGTTTTTACTATTTTACCTTGAACCATTTATGTGTAACATTTATGGCAAATGGCTGTCATTATCCATCAATATTTAAAGTAGCCTTCTGAAAATTTAAGATTTTTCTTTTTTTGTTTGAGGGTGTAGATTTTATAGTTTGTAGGAAAACCAACTCAGCATCCCATTTTACTTGCACTTTCTCATGACTTGAATCCATATTTCTTTTTGATTACAGACTATGCCATTGGTCTTAAAGTATCAGACCCCAGGTCTCCCAAATTTACTCAGAGCTACTCCTATACAGCTTCATGGAGCTATTTTTGGGCTTTGAGACATTAATTTTTTTTAACTTTTAATATGAAGTGTCTTTAACTGATGTTTCCTATAGTCTTTGAGCTATACAGTTAGTTCTGTATTTCTCAAGGTCCAGTCAGTAGACAAAAGCTATATGGTAATTTGAACACAGAAGTTATTAACTGGTTAATATTTTAGCTTGTTAACCAGGAACTATTAAAAGAGCGAGCACAAACAATAGCAAAATATTTCCTGAGACTATTTTCTTAGTAGTTTTTCTTTTCTTTCTATTCATGATTAAGAGGAAAGAAAAATTAGGAAGATTCTTGGTGTTCATGAATATATCATCCACAGAATATTTTCAGAATTAAACCATTCATGAGTGGTCCTAAGAGTTTGTGATACATAGTAACTAGCAATTTTGGTGAGGCATGAATCAATCTTTTACATTATAAGTTTGGTGTGGATGAATATGTTATATAGCTAATAAATGAGTGTAGCCAACTACCTAGCTTTAAAATTTGGTTGATCATTGCTTATTTGTCACCACTGAAAGAAGTATTGAAAAACATTGGTTCTCTGTGGAGAAAGGAAGGAATGTCTTCTTTTATGGAAAGGAAGACTAAGTACTGATATATAGTAGTACTGACAGATTTGGGGATAAGCAGATGACTTGACATGCATGCCTTGCAAATGAAGTTTATCTAGTTACGTGACAGCATGATACCTCTGACTGACAGTACCCCAAAAGGGTAATTTCTATTGTTTTCCTCATCTTCTCCTCCCTCCCTCTTTCCCCAGACTAGTCACATTATTTCAGTCATAGAATGTTATAGCTGGCAAAAATAATTGGGATATTACAGTTACGTCTCATTTTATTTTTGAAGAATTAAGGCCCATGAAGATTGAGGCTTGGCCAGGCTTGTGTAACTAGAGAAACTAGAAACCTAGTTCAGGCTTTTCAGCTTCTGGTTTTATTCTTTTCAGTACATTATACTGCCCCTGCATCCATAGTTCTTTCTACCCTTCTGATTAGCATATTCACTCTGTTATTTTTCAAATCAAGCTTATATCATATGCTGACATATAACAGCATTAGATTAGCTGCTAACTGTAATTGCTTTCTGGAAGAATTTGAAATAAAAACCTCAGCCATTATATAATAACTTGGCTCCTGAAAGGACCAGTACATTTTTAAATAACTTATTCTAATGGGACATTTAAATGAATCTTTATACTGCTACTTTGCAGAGCTCAGAATTGTTATCAAGTAAGGAGTTTTTCTTATTTTATTTTCTGTCTTGCATCCCAAGCAATCTTTGTTAGACTTGAAATTGTAAAGAATCCTGGGAACCATCTAGCAAAAATCATGCTCAATAAACATTTGTCAGATTGAAATTTTACCTCTTTGGAGGTGTCCCAATTGCATCTGATTAGTATTAATTTACTTATGAGCTAAATAATCTCTCTCATGTGATATTTAAATATGTTTTAGCTCACCTTATACCAAAAACTATCCAATCATCTATTTTTTCCCCACTTCCTCTTATGTAAAAGAATATGGCAAGGGAAATAGTCAACATTCTCTGCTACTTTTCAGCAAAAGTCATATTCCCTGCAGAGTATAGATAATTTGATTATTTGCCAAGGCTGCATTGTCTTGAGGTGATTTCATTAGAAAGAGATCAGTTTAAGAATGAAGAGCATAATTAATTAAATTGATACCATATTTATTGAAGGTTGGCTGATAGCTTTTAGTTTGGCTTGTGATTTCTTTATCCACTAGTTGCCATCTGCTTGTAAGCCAGCAAACCTTGTAGGAATGCCACAAAGGATTAATAATGAAAAAAAAAATGCTTGGATATTGACAGGAAAGAGTAATCTTATCCATTGCTATTCAGCTTCACAATAAGTTCCCTTATGGATCAAAGGGCAGCTAATAAACCTTAGAGTACATAGCTGATGGCTTTATGATGGCTCCTTGAAATTGAAATGCATGGGAAGAGTATTAAAGAATGGGTAATATTCATTGTATCCACATTTAACTCTAAACTGCTCTAATAGTTTTACTCTGCCACATATTAAGGTACTGCAACTGCTATCTGAAATGGCTTAGACTCTTCAGTTGAATTTAATTATGTATTTCTAGGCATAGTGATATTTTGAGCTAACTTGTAAATTCTAAAGAAGAAATTAATGTTTTATGTAGCAAAGTTGGGGAGGGTGCTAATTTGAAGAATTGTGAATATTGCTGGGAGGGGAGGGGACAGTTTATTTTTTGGCTTTATTGTTGCTTTGTAAAGAAAAATTAAAAGCTCTTTTTTTCCCTCCTTTCATTTTCTTGGGGTGCATTCCAATTCCAGAAGGTAAGAAGTATTATTTTATAATAAAGCAGTCTTTTACTAACTTAACTGAACTTACCTGTGGGTGCATGATTTTTGCTTTATGCAACTAAATAGTCTAGAAACTAAATAAGAATGATATTACTATGTAAATGTTTATCATACATCCTTTTTTTGTTCCTGCAGTTTGTAATAATCATTGTAGAGTTGTGGTTTTAGAAAAAAGTCTACATTTAGTTCTGTTAAAATAATTTGACTTACTAGCATTAGGATACCTAATGTTCTGCAGATTAATAATGAAACATTTAAGAGATTGAAAATGTGTGAACTAACATTTGCTTTATGGCTATAAGATTAAAAATGTATATTTATGCTCTGATTTGGAGAGAATATTGGTAAATCCTTTATGGGAATAATACTTATTTAAAACCAAGCCAGGAAAGGTTAAATTTAATTCATAGTCTAGGTTCTTTGCTGATGGCTTTTTATTCTTGTTGACATAGCATTTTTAGACATACCTATGTTATAGCCATTCTTATGTTACAGTTACTATAGTTACTTGATTTGCCTATCCGACTTGAGAGGAGGAACCACGTCATTGTATTTTCATGTCATTTGAACATGTCATGCTTGGCTTCTAGTTAGAGCTTAATACAGCTTTTCAACTCCAGTTAAATTTGTAATTCATTAAGTTCATTTACAAAAACCTATTCATTTTGAGTTTATGAAGGAAACCTTAATTGAAGTTGTACAGTAAAAATTATAATAAAGAGTGTAAAACTAGGTAAGAAAAAGATTTTGTGTATGTTTTTCTGAGGTGGGCTTAAGTTGATTAGGTTTTTTAGATACAAATAATAGGGACCAAATGTGCATAACTTAAGAAGAAATCTGGGCTATCTCACAGGCTCAAAGGAAAGAAACAGGCTCTGAATTTAAAACTAAGATAGCCTTGCAGATCAGGAAGCTAGAACTGATGGATGGGCTTCAGCAAGCCACTCCAGCTGGGATGAATTAGTCTATATCTGCTCTGCTCGAGATTAAATTATAAGGAAGAGAGTGAACCTGGCTGGCCCAGTGTCCAGGGATGGTGAGACATCTTGATGGATAGTCCTACCAAGACTATCCATCTTGGTAGGGGTAGGGTATAGGTTCCCAAAGCAAAAACCACACATTCTTTCCAGAAGAGAGGGTGTATATTGACCAGGCAGGAGCAACAGATGTCCACTACTTTGCTCACTTCAGAAAACAAGAGTACAGCAGAAAAACATAAGCCACAAGCAGTTTTAAGAAATAACTCTTTAAACAGATTGTCCCAATAGTAACATTATACAATACCATAGTACAGTATCATAACCAGAATCTTGCCTTTGATACAATCTGCCTGGTTTTACTTATACTGTGTATGTGTATGTGTGTGCATGCCTGTATGTGTGTGGATATGTTTCTGTGCCATGTTCTCACATGTATAAATTCATGTGTCTACCACCATGGTCAAAATATAGAACAATTTTATCAACAAGATCCCTTGTGTTGCTGTTTCATAGCCACACCTACCTCCTTAGTGCCACTTCTTCCCACTCCCTTCATCCTTAGCAACCACTAATCTGTTGTATAATTTCCTATAATTTTATAATTTCAAGAATTTATATTAATGGAATCACAGACAGTATGTACTGTACCATTTGGGATTGGCATTTTTTCAGTGTAATTCCCTGTGGATTCATCCAAGTTTTTGTATGTTTCATTCCTTTTTATTGCTGAATAGTATTCTACAACTTGGATGCACCACAATTTATCTAAACATTCACCCATTAAAGGACATCTGGATTGTTTCCAGGTTTTGACTATTACAAATAAAGCTTCTGTGAAAATTTGTGTACATGTTTTTGTACGGACATACATTTTCCTTTCTCTGGGAAATGCCCAGAAGTGCAATTGCTGGGTTATGTGGTTAAATGCGTGTTTAGTTTTAAAGAAATTTCTCAGTTTACCAGATGATTGTACCATTTTATATTCCCACCAGCAATATATGAGTGATCAGTTTCTCTGAATTTGAAATGAATCTCTTGTAAATGGGATAGTTGGGTTTTGGGGTTTTTTTCTTTTTAACTCATACTGTTAATCTTTGCCTTTTAAATTTGTATATTTATACCATTTACATTTAATTATTGATGTGGTAGAGTTTATGTCTGCCATTTTATTATTTCTGTTTGTTTCCTCCATTTCTTGCTCCTCTGTTTCTCTTTTCTTGCCTTCCCACGGGTCAATTTTTAGGATTCAGTACTGGTTTATAGTGCGTTTCTTTGTATCTCTGCATAGTTTGTTAGTGTTTGCTCTGGGCATTTATCACTATCTGGTACCAACATTTTATCACTTTGAGTAAAGTGTGGAAATTTTATTCCATTTAGGTTTTTTTCAGATGGTAT